GTATTGTTCTTCCGACGTCTGATTTCTCCTTAATTATAGGAAATGCGTTTTTCTAAGGTACATAAACTTTTGGGATTGACTGTATAGCCAATACATCCTTAAAAGGAAAATTCGTATATTTATATTTATATATATATATGTATATATATATATATGTATAACATGTAATAGTCTGTCTTTTTGTCTCGAGTATTGTGTGTTTAAAAAGAGGATTGCTGCTAAACTTTTGTAACTCTAACAACTATTTACAATGAAAAGAGTACATAATACACACGTACACATCCTACCGGTCGATAATTAAATGATTACACGGCACTGTGCGAATTATCATTTAAACCGAAGTAAATTAGGCGGGATCGATGATTGTAAAAAGCGTCCATATCTTCTATCGGTTAGATTAGATCGTTATATTAAAATTACCATTTTTATTTAGATGTGTCCAACGGTAAAATTGTTTAAAAAATCCAGGTATATCCGTATCAAAAACTCCTCGGACAATCGATCGAGAAATGAAATAGGCGGATCGCAGTTACGGGGCACAGGGTGGGTACAAGATCGGCGATATAAAATCTGGCCTCCGCGTCCAATTGTACAAAAATGATCGCGAGACAGTGAGATTCATCGCATCTTAAACTGATCAGTCGCATAGAATATCACAGGAACGTTAGTAGGTGTCATCGGGTTCACTTCAATCGAAAAATGGTACATCGCTCGTAAAGAGAATACGTAAACTAATTAAAGAAAAAAAAAGATCTCGACGATAGTTCTGCTCTAGTTGGAAGTCTACGCGGTCCCGTTGTTAAGGTACGCTACTCTTGTAAAATCAACCCCGGACGATGAAAAGAAAACGAGGTGTAAGCATACAAAATACGCTTAACAATCGTCTTACTCGGTAAACTCTATCTCGCGTATCAAAAATGTAAAAAAGTCTCAAGCATATCGACTTCCAAGCAGAACAGTCACCTATTGTGCTTGGCAGAAGCCTGCTTCCTCTCTCTTTCACAAGTGTAATAAGGTCGTGCTACTGCGACCGATACTCGCATTGATCGTAGGAGAGAAACAAGAATCGAAACGAAAGTACTCTGTTCGAAGTTGAATTCCTTCTGCACACATTTCGCTCCGAATATTTTGTAACGGGTATTCGTCGAAGCAGCACGATCATATTCACGTTCGGTGCAACCTATGCTATGACAATAGCACGATTTACAAAGTTCTACGCTAGCTGATTCGAGTACTGTTACATAGACACTGTTTATCTCTCTCGGGGCGAATCTTAACGCGAATCGCCTTCCTCTGAGCACAGGAGAGCACATAGCGGAGTACGTAATACTTGAATCCGTGTAAAAATCGTCTCCACTCTTTTCGCATGCCTTCTAATCATACCAGTCACGCACACTTCGTTTCTCTAAATTAGGACGCGCTATTAGCTCTAACATATTCTTGACCAATCACAGGTCGTTGGGTCAAAGTCAGATCGTTTTAGTTCCAGTTGATTTAAAAATAAAAAGGTATCGACACACAGCCCCCTACACTTAATTATAATACAGAAAGGAAAGACTTTATAGACGTTAATTTTCGCTCGTGTCAGAAATAAAAAGATACGTATAACTTACGACAAGGCTTTTAATCCCTCTAATTCATACATTGGCTGTAAAAATGTCGATGCTCCTTTACACGCGTACATAAGAGAAACGAGTAACAAGAACAAACAATGCGAACTACAGTATATTACAAAATTGTCACTGGAATTTTGTAATCTTACATCGCGTTTGACATCGATGATGCTTGTTCTGAATTACGGGTTCTCGCGTGTGCATAGAATATGCATCTGCCTTACATGATAAAAAACTAAAATAACTCTGCGCAGGATTCTTATTAAATAATTAAAAATCATAATTAATTATTATATGTATATCGCAGATCTCACGAATAACAGTTATCCTCTCGTACTCGAGCATCACCTATTCTCTCACTGATCGTAATATAAATTAAAAGAAAAAACCGTTTATTACAAGGTGAGGCGCTGTGCCTTGTCATTCCTATGATAAAAAATATAATAGGTCCATGAGATTTGTTTACATGCTTATTTGTGCGTCTCGATTCATCTCGATTTGTTGATTGATCTCCACCAAAATTATTGTACGGCTAATACACAAAATGTTTAAGAATTTCCACCGTACGGTTCCCCTGCAAATTTTTATGACCAACAGATTTACTAAAAGATTGATTATAAAAGAAACAAAAATATGATGGATGGTGTGAGAGCGTAGAAAAGTACAGTAGGCGGAAATTCGTAGGCACTTTGCACTCTTTTTTAAAAACACTTCAATTGGCGTAATTGGTTCGTTCATGTTCATAAAAACGGATACCCTACCGTATCGTTAGCCATCATGTTATTATACGATACTAACAGCGTAGGCAAATAGTAGCGACTCTAATCACAGACAGAGCTCGTTCGGATCTCTGTCAATTACGAAATGATCAAAGCGCGAACTGGCAACTAAATTCGTTCTCGGTTAGCGAGCAGATTAATACACACATGTACATTGAGTAGAGTTAGGGACGCGCATCTCATTAAGCACGTAAATGGAATGAAACTGAGATGGAAAGGGAATAAAAAGAAAAATGAGAGCAATCTTGTCGACCGATACTATGCGAATCAAATAATTAACGTGATTGTCCCCTGCCATAAGTGAATGGCTTAGCAGCGCGTGTGCCGGAGTTAAACAAGAAATAAGACTTGACTAGAAAAGGAGGAGCGTGCGATGAAATAACATGTACATTATAACGCGTGATTTCACAATTTCCCTACTAAAAAAAGAATCTACTTTTCTTTCTCTTATTCGTTAATAATCTCATCAGCTTATTCTCATTTTCAGCGTTATTCATTGTGAGGTGAAATACTGACGGCTACAGGTAGTTCCTACCGTACAGACAATTTCATTTCAATCACCGATCACTCGTGAGCCGAGTGAAATTTCATTGATCAATCGAAACTACCCATGTCTCTCAGTATTCTCGAATAGAAACTAACTCCTATTGTGCCGCGTAAGCCCTCCAATTATGCGTAACATTTCGTCAGTGACTTACAAAGCACATTTACGGACACAGTTGCCATACACACCAATAGATATATTCCTAATCGTCTCATGTATGAAAAAGTAAAAAAATCATTCTTCTTCCCAGTGTTACAAATACCCAGCAATTCTCCTCATGCTATACAAACGAGGTACGTACTCACTGTTCTACTTCGCGTGTCACGAACTGAACAAGAATATCAGTCTTTCTTCAGAAGAGAAATTAGCGCCGGCGTGCGTTCGTGACACACGCCTTCCTAGATTCCGTATGACACTTATATCTTACAAATAAACTTACACACATGTATGCGAGTGACATTATGGGTAAATTGTAAATCGCTAAGTAGATCAACGTTTGATCTAACGGTAGAATACGTATAAACGGTAGAAACGTATGCCGGTAAAAATATTTGGAAGAATACAATTCAGTTTTTAAATTCAATTTCGTAAAAACTGTACGATTCGTGCTTAATCGTATTGAAATGAAGAAAAATGTAATGCATAAAAGTTGTTTAATAACTTTTATGAACCATATTTTCCATGTTGCAATGCAATTTGCATTTCAGCGTGCGTGCCGTACGAAAATACGATCGGATTGGTGAACTATATGATCCATTTGTCAGAATATTCATCTTATAAACATGCTTAACTCCTTTTTAATCATCAGTCCGTCAGTTGTTAATTAAAAAAAGCACTTACTTTGCTGGCTCAATGCTTTCGTCGAAAGTTCCATCATCGATCACCAAATTTTATGATACACTCGTTTCCTTAGGGCGATAAAAATAAATCAAGTTCAACGTCGTCGAGTGCTCGGTTTTTCACTGTACTGCACTTCATAACAATCAGCCGATTAGTCTCTCTTCGTTAATGGTGTCGAACCGATCGTGTGTTTAATTTAATTCCATTAGTCTGTCAGATGTCAAGTGTTTACTACCTCGTGGTATATGTATGGTACACGTAATGCTCCGTGCATGAAAAAATCTCAGAGATCGACCATCGCTCATGCACGTTTCAGTCTAACTTCATGATATTGTACTTGCTTCCACCGATACATTAGCAATTTCTTTGGTTGGCCCAATATAAGTTTCCTTGAGCGTTCGTACGTTTTCAAACACTTTTTGCATGTAAATTGTCTTTACGCACTTTGTTCACCAAACATCGTCGAGGTGTTCCGTACTGTGATATTAAGACGCTGGTTCGTCGTCGGCCAAATTATGAAGATCCGAATAGTTCACGATAGCACGGTGTAAGAACTCGTACTGCGCCTGTAAAAGGAATCAATTGTATTAAATTGATGTTTCTCGAACACACAACAATTTGCCATAAATTCAAATTACTTACAAAGCTGCTGATCATGCCGTGTCTCTGTGAACGCAGTTTTTTAGTCGTCGTGAAAATGTCTACGCGTTTCTCGGTCCTCAGTTGCTGGACCAATATACTAAGAGCGACGAACATGGAACTCCTGTCGGATCCAAAACTGCAGTGCACTACTAGCGGGCCACTCGATTCCGTCGTGTCGTTCGTAAGCGTTTGGTTGACGAGTTCGATGAGACCACGGGTGACTTCAGGTACTTCTCCCTCTACCGTTGGCCATCCGTGATATTGATACTGTGTCACGGCAACGTTCTCGTCTGTCTTCGTGTTCGACACGCAGAATTCGCGATGAGTGTAATACGGACAGCTCTCGCTCTGAATGTATCTGACTCTTATATGGTCGTACACGACTTCGTCATCGGGCCAGTACCGCGGACATTTTCTTGGGCCCTCGTTTAGCTGTAATAAGTATTTATATTAGAGTTCAAATAAAACATATGAATTCGTTTCGTTAATTGAGCTTAACTAAAGTCGGAGGCACGACAATATTATTCATCCGACTGTTACGAATATACTCTGCGTGCTATATATTCTTTTTACGCAGTGAGCTTGAAATTAGTGATTGGACGATTAGAATACAAATTACTTACATCGGACAACATTACTATCGTAGAGATGCACTGTTCCAAGATCATTCGCCAGAAGTCTGCTATTGTAGATTCAAGCGGGTCTTGAGTAATAACAAACGACTCGGAATTGTCATAGCCCTCGATAAACGATGCGTTTATGTACGTCGAGTGTTCCCGACCTGGAACGGGTGTCAGAATCACTCGATTCCTGTCGTAAGGTATAATTAACTCGCTTCTGTTCTTGCTCTTGTTCTCCTCGCCTCCGCCGACAGAGAACGATTTTCTGTCTTCTAATATAGAATTGATTTTCTACAAACAATACAACACACGATTATTGAAAATGTATTTTTTTTAATCTTAAATACAATTCGAGTATCAGTTTACTCACATCGTACTCTTCTTCCATTCTGCACTTCTCTTTCCCGTTGTCTCTCTGTCTTAATCTCGCGATCGTGGCTTTGAGCTGAGACGCCGGTACCTCCGTGTCTCCGTACTGTGCCATTTCCATCAACGCGCGATAGATGAAAATATACTGTTTCAAAGATTGCACTAAGAAGTTCCTCTGGTGTCTCAGGTCGCACACTGTATTGAAAATCGAGACTTGACCCTCTTCCGCGAGTTGTTGTAACAGCGAATCGAGTGCGACCAACGTTCCCGTTCGCCCGACGCCCGCGCTGCAGTGCACCAAGATCGGCCCTTTCTCCAACGAATAAGCTTCGTTTACTCTCTTGATGAACCTCAGTATCGCGTGCGGATGCTCCGGCGCCATGAAATCCTTCCACACCAAGAAGTGATACTGAACGATGGTGCGCGCGTCCCGTTCTCCTAATCGCGTCATCTTCAACTCGCGCACCACGTAATCCGAGTAAGCCCGTTCGCGATCATGTTCGACCGTGATGTCGCCAAAGTTCTTGGTCTCGCCCTTGTCCGGCCAATATTTCGCGCATTTCGTTTTCGAATATTCTTCTAGATTCGTCAGCATGAGGATCAGTTCGAGGTGTTGTTCCCAGATCATTCGCCAATAATCGCAAACGGTGTTCTCCATCGGGCCTTGAGCGCATATGAATTTCTTCCGTTCCTTGTATCCCAGCACGAAGTTCGCGTTTATGTAATCCGACCCGCAGATCCCGTCCATCTGCGCGAGCCTCACTCTGGTCTGATCGTAGCACTTTATATCCGGATACCGATTTTTGTACAGGTTCTCGCGTGCCTCCGAAGCTCTCGTCGTACGATCCGTAAATCTGTCCGGGAGCAGCTCGAACTCGTGTTGGAACCCGTAATCGGAGTCTCGGTGTCGCTCGAGGTACGCCTGGAGCAGCTCGTTTTTGGGAATGGGAGGCATATCCGGTGGACTTGCCGCTACCAGTTGATGTCTTCCTCTAAGGCTTCTGCACAAATGTCTATTAAAATAAAAATATTTACTGGATTTCATACTCATATATTTTTCTAATTCGAAAATATACGATCGCTGCGAATCACGGAGCATTTCTTACCTGAAACTGTTCCTCAGTGTTATAATCTCTTCCCCTCTCTGTTGCGCACGTTTCGTGTATCTGTGCAACACGCAAAGCGCGATGAGAAGAATAATGATGATCAGTATGAGGGCAATGGAAATTTGCAGAATTATACTAAGTGTGGTCACTTCCGTTGGCACTACAACTATGGGGTCTAGTCCTCCATACAAGGGATTGAAGTAATTGCTATAAGCTGGCAAGAGCTGATCCTCTTCATTTCCGTACACTGTGACAAAGTTATGTTCAAATAAGTTCAACTTCAAATACAAATACATAAATTCCTATAGAGATAGATTAAGTGTACCGATAACTTCGATGAAACCCGTGTAATTTGATTTCTCATCCAAGAAACCGTCTTGTGGAACAATCGTTAATAAATCCGAAGTAGCATCATTGATATTCGTCTTCTCCGTTACCGTATTCTCTCTCTTTCTCCTCTCCACTGTTCCCGTATTATTGGTATCCACTAGATTCGCGATAGTTGTCTCTATTTTCTGGGTAGTAGCCGGCGTTGTCGTCGGAGAAAATGTTGTAGTCGACGTCGCTGGTGTTGTAGTGGTAGCAGACGTCGTATTAAATGCTGGCGTAGTCGTTGGTACCTCGGGAACAAAATGTAATACCGGAGGAGCAGCTTTTGGCCGAAGTCCAATACATTTGTTGCACATGTTACTACCGGTGAATGATTCACCGTCGCCGAGGAAAATCTCCGATACCAATCGATCGCTGTCGAATGTCTCGGCGACATAAGCACCGCCGGCAGGCGAATTGTGAGCATATTGATACGAATACACGCCGATCTTCTCAGGTGATGGTAAGTCCGTGACGCTCTTCTGAGGTGGCAATTTTACGAGAAACACTCGGTAACAACATATAGGTCCGTTCCTTTCCGTGATACGCGGAAGATACAGCTTAAACAACTGTTTACCCTGATTCTCGATCTTCCGCCACGATCGCATGTTCAAATTGTCCTTGTCCGGTACAGTAACCGGGGTGCTGCAATTACCAACAGCATCCTTTCCGGGTGTACGAGATCTGGTCACACCGTTCACGCGGACGGTGTAATTCGTATTCGGTGGTATCTGATTGAAGTTCGTGTTATTCTTTTTGTAGACGCTCCAATTCTGGGGTCCCCAAGTATCGATGTCCAAACGACCCATTTCGTTCTTAAATCTAGCGATACCGGTCAGCTGTATGTTATAGCGAGTAATATCACCGTTCGGCTTCTCCGGATGAACCCACGTGATGAAAATTGAGCTGGAGCTACTTATATTGTCGTATCGACAATTCACCGACAAATTTTGAGGAGGACTTGCCACTAAAATTGAAATAGGATCAGTTTCGAGCTTTTAAGACGTACGAAAGATCGAGTTCTGAAGTTCAATTATTTTACCTCCGTCTAGAGTAGTGCCGTTCACTTCGGCGCTCCAGTTTCCACATTCCTTTGTGTATTCGCTGCATGCGGCGATTTTGAACTTATACGTGGTCGCGGGATCAAGATCCACGAACGCGTACACGGTAAGCGGCTGCGCCGGATACATCGCCTCTCTTTTCTGATCTTTGTGCGTGGCCATTAAATTATAATAATGAACGTGTTCTTTCAAATCCGGAGGTGGCACTGTCCACCCTATAGTGATAGAGTTCTCCGTGACTCCGTTAACAGAGACTTTTGGCACAAATATAGGATCTGCAACAAGTCGAATGAATTGATAAATCAGAAGGAGGATGTCATGACACGATCAACATTGGTGCACGTTCGTTACCTTTTTCTAGCGTAGTGATCCAACGTGGATCGAGTCGCGCGTGCGACGTGCCCACAGCGTTCGAAGCACTGATTCCAATCTGATACGCTGTACCGCTTTCGAAACCTTTCAAAACGTAACTCGAATTACCGCCTCCGATCAGCTCGGAATAATATTGATATTGATTCGTCCCGTTCTTCATATGCTGGATGATATATGTTTTAATCGGCTCGTTTCCGTCGTCGACGGTCCAGTTCAGAAATATACTTCCAGCACCGACGGCTTTCATAAAATCGATGCTCACTTTCGGTACGTCGATCACAAAGAGGTGCCTGTACGCGCTAATTTCACCGCTGTAATCGCGAGCCTTGCAAATGTACGTTCCGTTATCTTTCCGCGTCAAACTCTTAAACTCCAACGTGAGCACAGTCAGAGTCTCGTTTATTTGTGTGATATTGGTAAAATCCTTCAAATGCTCGATGCTCTCCGAATCGTTTCCCTTCAGCCAAGCGAACTGAGATAATGGATAGCCGTGCATGTGGCATGTCAAGTTAGCCGATTCCATTACTTTTACCCTAATGTCCTGTCCTGCGGTTATTCTACCTGGCTCTAAAACCGAAACGATTCACCGTTAAAAAGTATAAATAATACTAAATAAATTTCGTTTCCGGAATTCGACATGATCGACGATCGAGATTTACCAATGACTCTGATATGAACGTCTTTCTCCAACAAATCCCCCTCTGCAGTTTGCGCCGTGCATTTATAGTCTCCCGTATCGTTTCTACTAGCGTGCTTAATATCCAAACGTTCTCCGGCATCATAATCTTTAATAGTAGTGAGATTCTTTCCATTACTGGTCCACCATATCTGGCCGGGTACATTGAGCTTGCATATCAGAGACGGTGTACTACCAGCCTCTATACCCTCTAAATCCTGAGATGCTGTAATTTCTAACACCGCTGGATTCTCATTTTTTGGCTCGGTAGCTTCTACCTTTTCAGCTCCTACATTAAAACAAACACTCTCTCTTGATATTTTGTTCATTCTATTCAAAATGGGGTTCGTATTACAAGATCTGAGTAGTCGGCTCATTAATTCATTAAAATCATCATACATAATGCGGTCAAAGAGAATGGCTTTGTTTCAGCAGTTCAAAGCTTCTCTTCATTGTAGCGCGAAATCTAGGATGATATTCTACTTTAAGTCTCGTCTTTCCCCAACAAGATGAAAGTAAACGAGTATAGTAAATTCTTTGTTTAATGAGTTCAACGTTTATTATCACGATGTCACCGGTGACTCAATGGGCAGTAACGTTTTCTCACAGTAAACGTCTTTAGATAGTATCTCGCATCACAGGATTGATTACCTTTATGTGTAGCGGCAGATAATCGCTCACTTGAAAGAAAAGAATTTCTTTTCGTTCCTGTGTCATTCACATCATGAAAGAGTTAGTTTTTATAAAAAATACAATTTCACATCGATTACGAAAATAAGAGTTTGCAGTACTACATAAAAAATATTTAGTGCGTTAGGAAAATGGATATCGATGAACGGAAACAAGATTGATTTTTCACGATTATTAAACGTACGTCGAGGCAATAGAAAAATGGCTATGAATATTTATATTAAAATAATATACGTTTATTACTATTATAATGTGGACTATAGGATTATTGTAAATAAGCAGACTTCATCGAGTTTTAATATTGATCCGACTTCGGTGCAATCAGTCTAATTTTACGCGTTTGTATAGTATACGGAAGATAATGCAAGGTGGTTAAACGAAATAGAAATCGATCGAGCGTGTACTTAACAGACCGCTGAACAAATAGTAAATAAAATTCGTTTGCGATACAAACATCATAAGAATAATGAATAAAGAACTGAATTCAAATGAACCGACTACTAAATCGTGTCTTTTAAAGCTGAACACGTCGAGCTCTCTAATTTACGAGCGTGTACACAGCAAAATTGATTTTACGCTCTTTATGGTAATTGACGCACGGTGGGAATTCAATCCTCTGGCATAAACACGAATCGCGTAATAAACGTTTAGATAAAAGACAGGGGTTGCATCGGACGGTGCATAATTAAAAGAATCAAGATATGTCGATGACATTCGATATCGTCTGGTGTTGTTAATCAATCGTGCATGACGGTATGCAATTTTATGCGTGCTCATGCAATCAACAATCCGTTCGACTTGTTGTCAGGCCGAACTGGTTGCCATGATAATCGTTCGAAAAAAAAGCTACCCGGAGGGAGGACAACAATCGCAGAGGCATCAACGATGACAGCAGTACATCGTGTATTCGCTAACTACCTTGCTCGCAACGTTCAGTTGCATTCGTCGTCGGCGTTCGACGATAAAAATCAGAAGAAGCTATCGTATTATTTGAATCGATCACACGATAATTTTACGAGAGCGTGCCGTTTTAGACTTACCGGGTTCGTCGAGGCCGGCGACGATAAGTACGAAAAAGCAGAGCACGGTCAACGGGATACTCGACATCGGTAGACCACTTCGGCGAAACATGGCGTCGTGACAACCGGGCGTGAGCGTTGTATCCCTGGCCCTTTTCCCACTTCCTGCCATCTTCTTGCGCGTTCCCGATTCCTTTCACAATCCCATGACGCGCGGCCAGATCTCGCCTGTCCGTTTTGACCACGGCAAAGCCTCACTGTTCCATATCACGCTTCGGCACTTGCATGCGACGCACTTTGTGAGGACGTTCTCGGCCACACTTTGCAAATCTCACCTCACCCCGTAATAGTACTCGGTGCTGGCGAAACGAAACTGAATACTGAATCGCGTTAGAATAGTAGAACGGAGGAGCCGATAGTCGATGTGGTGGTGTCCCGAGGTCCCGACCTGACGAACACCACGCCGCCGAACGCGAAACGATTGATTGACACTGCCCTCCGCCGGGCTTCTACTCGCGTCGATAACGAAGACAATCGTCCCTTTTCTTATTACTTTTTACTTTCTTTTCCCTCTTTCATTTACACGGAGAAACCTGATATTTAAACCCGGCACACAGCCGAGCGTCTTCTATGTACATTAAATTGTAATTTCTCTCGTTTTTTCGCACAGAAATAATGGTTTGTCTGTGAGATTATTGTCTCCTCCAGGGGGCTCCTGCTATGTACAGCCGGCATTGACATGCACATATCCTCACCTTTGTAAAATGTTATTCAGTCTGTTTAGTTTCCTTACCTTTATTCTTTCGTCCGTGTAAAATTCGAGGGCTGCGACGATTGGCATGGCCGAGTTGATTTTAGATCCAAATATACGAGGTTGGGTGTTTCTACCGATCGTCGTGATTACATTTCTCGTAGGCATTATTAGGCACTATGTTTCAATATTACTTGCTTCACAGAAAAAGGTCGAGCTTCATCAGGTGCAAGACAGGTAATTTGTTCGTGAAGAAAAAATAAGAAACATTTGTTCATGAACTCATACCGTATTTTTCAGCCAAGTGATGATACGCTCTAGATTGCTTAGAGAAAATGGCCAATATATCCCAAAAATGGCATTCATCAGTAGGAGACATTTCTTTAATAACGAGGAGACAGGATACTTCAAAACACAGAAACGTGCTCCTGTATCCCAAAATCCAATGACAGATCTTAATATGATGACAGATATGTTGAAAGGAAACGTAACTAATGTTCTGCCAATGGTATTGATCGGTGGCTGGATCAATTGGATGTTCTCTGGCTTTGTCACCAGTAAGTTTAAAGGATTTAAATTGTTACATTGTAATTCCTGAATTAATATACGAATATGTTATCTCAGCTAAAGTGCCATTTCCATTGACGTTGAGGTTCAAACCGATGTTGCAACGTGGTATAGAGTTAGCTACCCTCGATGCTGCATGGGTATCGTCGGCATCTTGGTATTTCCTTAACGTGTTTGGGCTGCGTTCCATTTATACTCTTGTCCTCGGAGAAAGCAACGCTGCCGATACCTCTAGGCTTTTACAGGACCAAGTTTCCGGTGCTGCGATGTCCATGCCGCCAGATCCGAAAGCTGCTTTCAAGTCAGAATGGGAAGCATTGGAGATATACGAACACAATTGGGCATTGCAGGGTATCGAGGCAGATCTTATAGGATCTCATAAAACAGATGCAATTGAAAGTACGTATACGGTGAAAGCACAAGTGTTTCACCGCGTAGCTTCGTAATTCTAATAGAAACTTGATTTTCCTAGGTAGCAAAGACAAATAGAGACAAGAACATTACATCTATATCTACAGGTATAGCATGTGCCATTTCGGAAAAATAACTGAACTTTCAAGTAATTGAATTTACGGTTTCCATTAACACAATGAACAATCTGTTATTCCTTTATGTTTCGTTAGGGCAGTTGGTTTATATATTCTGTTAATACTTCTCTCTTCATGTGTAAAAAATTATCCAAAAATAGCAGTATATTTCCACCCATTCTACATTTTTAAATGGTACAAACGAATTTGTATTTAAAATAAGTTATTAAACACTATGTACAATAAAGTGTATCATAATAAATGTTCATTTTATATATGTATATTAACGAAATGTAATATTCATTACATTTTCTATTCCTTGTTGAATGGACGTTGAGACGAACGTTTGGTCTTACGGAGAATGAGGTGATTTACACCTCGTATAAGTGTGAATGTATCGCGAGAATTATAACGGCGTAATTTTTGGATACAAGTCCGTGCGTCGATGATTTTCGCATGGCATATTTTCCCGAATCTGTTTTAAAAGCTCCAGATCAATTTCTGCCACTACCAAATCGGTTTTCTCGCTACACTGTGCTATCACTGTTCCCCAAGGATCTATAATCTAGTAAAATTTCGTATCACGTATACACGTACACACGATCGATACATTATTACTCATTAAAATACAATTTACCATTCCATGACCCCAGCTGACTCTCTTCTTATTATGCGTACCAGTTTGAGCTGCGGCTACGACGTAACACTGCGTTTCTATGGCCCTGGCACGCAATAATATTTCCCAATGTGCAGCACCCGTTTGGTATGTAAATGCCGATGGATACGTAAGTATTTCTGCTCCCATGTTTCTTAATGAGAGTGACAATTCGGGAAAACGCATATCGTAACACTATTTTCATAGTCAAGATTAATTTCGCACGATGTACAGAGTGGAGTAAAAAATAGAAAAGGATACAATGCTAAGTCCCAGTTTCCCAATTGGTGTCGATATCGGTGGCTCAATTTTCTGTCCTGGTAAAACATAGTCCGATTCCATTAATCTAACGCCAGTAGACTTGTTATCCATGTCAAACAAATGCATTTTACGATAGGCACCAACAATTTCTCCTTGGCTGTTTATTAGAACATGAGTATTGCTTATGTGGGTCTCGTTGTTACTCAACTGTACGATTAAAATAATATATCGGTTAAATAAGGAACACTGTAAGAATGCTAAAAAATAAAAGAGAATCTCTAACTGCTTCGTGTAATCCGCCTAACGACAACCAAATCCTGTTGGTTTTTGCAATTTCTTTGTAACTCGCTACTGTTGGTCCATCTAACGATTGGCTCATGGCTACCGTAGCTTTTTTGTTGTCTGCTAAATAATCACATGCTTCAGGGAAGAATGCAATCTACGAAAACGATACACAGGTATGTAATCAAAGAGTTAGTTTACTACTTTCTTTACAGATACTTACGCAGGCTGATTTGCTTTTAGCTTTCTCAGCTAGTTTTCTCACGGTCTCTAAATTCTTGTCCTTATCATTTGTCGATGTCATTTGGCAAACTGCCACCAGTGGATTTGCCATGATGCTATAATATCTTGCAAATTGCTTGCTACAAAAGATCAATTTGCAGTGCCATTAAAATCATAAAAAATAATGATGTGATGTATAGCTACAAGCGGACAGAAATCTACTTTTAATACACATACTTTATTCGACACAATTCAATTGTTTTTATAATTGTTACCTGTGATATTTAACAATAGTAAAGCTGCTACTGAAACGCATGCTTATCGTTTATTTATTTTACACGTCGTTTTACAGATACGAACATTTCGTAACACGCAAGTTAATGTGTCAAGTGTCAAATGATTTACGACATCATCAGTTCTCTTATACTCCTTATAATATTCCGTTTAAAAAAAAGACTAATGATTTTCGTAAATCATAGATTATATTTATGTATACACAATGTGTACATTCCACATTTCTTTATACTGATAAATATTGTTAAAGTCTTTTCAGGTTAACAGCAATCGGAGTGGGACTAGAGCACACTGCCGCCCGAACGTCTTGGACAATCGCGGTTCCATTTAGTGTTGAGAATTATGCAGACAAATTGCATTGCATTACAAGATTATTCCAGCTCGCGCTTTACTTAGAGTTGCGAATTAAAATATTAACGAGATGCTTGTCGCGTTTTGATAGTAGCGTCGCCTCGATAAATAATGTATCGCTACATAGATTTTTTACCGGCTTCTCACGTTTAATAATAATTCATATTACTTTTCTTAATTTTTATTCATACATTCACTCGATATAATTTATATTTTACACATCGGTTACAAAATATACATTAACTACTGAATTCATTGATTTATACCTTTTCCTTCTCTGATTTCTTCGTAGTCGAAATTTCCTAAAATAAAGCAAATTGTCTGATTTTAAAATAATCACGTTTAGACTGTGTGTCAAGAATTATCACTAAGAAATAGTTATGAAAACAAGCAAGGAAGGGGTATGGTACCTATGATAATTATGAATCTATTTAGTCAACAATTTCGAGTTCTTTGGCTTTTTTGCATCAGGCGATTCTTTTAATGCTACTGACTCGAGAAGTTTGGAATCTTCTTTGTTGTAATTGAACGAAATATTTCGGGTTTCTGACATGTCTTCGTAAGGTCTTCTAAGAACTGTGAGTAAAGGTTACGTAAAAAATTGATTTTAAAGAGAAAAATGAACAAAATCTTGATAACATGTCCATCACCGTATTTAATTACGAGTTGTATCTCTCCACAAATTTTAGTAACAATTTGTGGTTTAGGAGAGAATATCGTATTTATCCGAAAAGATAAATACGTTGCTGTATGATTTTCTACAGTGTAAAATGGCAAACTATATTAAGATAGTTCAGGTGCAGGAGGAATGATGCAATAAAACAATTCTACTAGTTGCATCCTACCTCCGTCTTTTCAGTTGGAGCATTTGACGATTTCTGTTCGAAAGGTCGAGTTAACATACGAAAGTATTCTGACTCGACCATGCTTTTTAGCATTGGAAATTCATTTAATGAAATTTCCTTTTTGGTGTCTCCTGGTTTCACTGAAATTTTTAATGTAAAATATTGAAGTGTACAATTTCGTGGACACGTCACTGTATCATTAGTGCAATGTAGTATAAAATTGTATGTAGGATATTGATAATATACTTTGCTTCGCGTTACTTTTCAATTCTTGTAAAATTGCATTTTACTATTATTTGCAATTTAGAATACTCGGAAGAAGTTAACTTGGTTAAACTTTCGATTAATAGCTGTAGAGAAGTTCATATCGCTTGCCATTTATATTAGTAATAAATAAATTGAATCGCACCTAAACATTTTGATCTAGTTTCCTATAACAGCGATATAAATATATACGCACCACCATATATAAAATTGTAACTAATATTTCCATAATGTTCCACTGTATTCAAAGCTTCTCTTGCTTCTTTCGGGAAACAAATGCACCCGACGACGCTGGCACCTGTAGTCGTATAGAACAGTTTTTTTAAGATGCCCCCTCTGAGACCCAGTATTAATCCAGATAAACCACCTATGCCGACGGCTCCTATTCGAGGCATGAGGTTTGCTTCATCTTGTAGGTAATCGATTATAACTGAGGAGAATATTAAATTCGTTTTAAATCAATTCTTCTTCGCGACGCTGTTCTTCTAAAGATCATTGAATTAACTGACGCACACATATAAATTTCATATCGTGTATAAATACATACATTTAACATTCTCAAATGTATTCGACACATCATTTGAAACCCTATCCAATGTTAGCTTTATCTCACCCACTGTTTGGCGTACTTTCCTAATGTTCTCTTCCACAACGGAAGGATGTTCTTGTTGCTGCTGTATGCTATAAGAAATTTTGATCAGTATTTTCAGCGTTAAGAAACTGTTTGTACCGTGCAGTGCGTGCGTATGATGCTTTTCGTTAAGAACTCGTGTATAGAAGGAAGGTTGATCATTTAAAGTGTTTATAAAGCTATTGTACAGATCTTTTCATAAGTACGTTTATCAATATGAAATTACTTGCGCTTTACCATGGCATCTCCTTAGCATTAAACCCATCATCAACATAAATGGGTAGTTCTGATGGTTTTATTAATTTTTTTCCCTTTGTTTCATTATTACACGGTGTAGTTTTCTCATCCGGGGGTGTCGGAGGTTTCATTGCTGGCACCGCAGCACATAGCCCACACGGCATCAAGAATTTCTTGAAAAACTTCATGCAAACATATATTGGATTTCTGCTTTTCGTATTAGCACAATAACATATAAAATACTTTATGAAACTTATCGTTTCCAATTATCATTACGATATTTCTATGCATTCGCTAGTTAGAAAGTCATTCGATTTTATTCAGGAATTCTCTAATTTAAGTATCACAATGTGGAGATGACTAGTAATCCACTGATTATTATTAAATTAAGATGTTATAATGTATCATCAGATCAATTACCATTGTTCGATGCATTTTAAAATGTGATTTATGATCCTAATTTTTTGGAGAACGTATGGCTCGCTCACAAATATTTTTTCCAAATCATTGGCAAATATTTTTTCTATCAAAAATTGTAGGTCGACACTAGCAGAATACACATTTCAGACGTACGGAAGTGTTGGTTACGCGACATCTAGGGCCAGTTTCAAATACACGTCCGTACGAAATATTGAGAATCAAAAAAATGATTATTTTTATTTAAATCGAACTAAATATTCGTGTTCGCATGATCGTTATATCCAGTTTGTATCGTCTCGTTTTAATGATAATTATAAAATAGATAATAATAAATAACGATTTCAAAATCTATTCAAATGGCAAGACTTAAAATTATGTAGCTGTAAAATAGAATACGTACATGTATACTTACCAGGTTTAAACACGATGAATGTTAACAAAAATTTATGCAAAAATGATGTAGAATTTGTATATGCTTATAATAAAAAATCTTTGTACATCTTGTACTTACATTACTTCACATAAGATATTGACATGATGTGTCAAGACTTTGTGTATACTGTCGTTTGCATAAACGTTTGTATAAGCAGATAAAAAAAGAAGATCGAGTAGTTGCTTTTTCCTGTATCGTACGTTGTTATATATATTGTTACACATACGCGATGGGAATGAAAATAAGGTACAGATTTCGCGACCTTAAATATCAGCCGATCTATTTTAAAATTCATTAATGCATGTCACCAACGTTTTTTAAGTGTTCATTACTGTCCGAATACATACTTTTAGACCGGTTCTTCCAAATTCCGTTAACACGCCTGGCTGATAATCATCGCAACGATGCACTGGCTCTCTGCAAGTTATATCCTTACCAAATATATTTCCAATGGTAGATTCCAAAAATCTGTGTACGTAATTGTTCATAACGGTTTCAAAGTTACAATTTCAGTCCCGGGGAATGTGTTTTACATTTTTATATAAAATCGTAAATTTTTAACGAGCCATTTTCGTATACGATGTGTGAAATTCCTTTGTTTTCACACGTGCCACCTGAGTGTTCTATAGTGTATGCTCTAAGCGTGCCACTAATTTGTTTAAAAGATGAATCAAACGAGGTAAGCTGTGTACGCTGTGTACTTCTAGTTCGATCTGGATTCTGTATCAAAGGAATATGATTCTGTTTGCTTTAAGGATATCCTTAAATATCATCCGTACAAAAGAATAATACGATTTATTAAATGCATATTAATTACATAGTGGTTAGTCCTTCTAAATTTGTTCTATACAGATAGGAAAATTGCTTTGACAAAAATAACAATTTAATAAAATTGACAAGCTTTTTACAATGTTCTTAATTACATATTTACATGTATTATTACGAATATATTTAGAAAAAGTCTGTCATGTATACTGTAAGAGCTGTGAAAGGAAAATTATAAAATCATTGATAAACACAAGTCTGACTCATTATAAACTGTTAAGGCTTTGGTATTTCACATATTTTCTAATTATGCCTTACGACAATGTCGTGAACTTATTTTAATGCTAATGTTTCCCAAAGTTTGTCTTTCTTCATAACGTTAATGATCATTTCTTGACTAACTGACCATAATCTCGCGGCAAGCGCTGGGTCCAATGCCGTGTTCGATGCATCGCAACGATAACAATTATTGAAATATAATCCAGTCAGACCTTCCAATTCTGGAGCAGTTGCGCAAAACACTGATGTACTAGCGGCTTGTTGCTATAAAGTGTCAAAGAATTACAATTAAATTCTTGAAGCGTTTACTACTGACAAGTTGTTAACGTACCAGCGATTTTGTGAATGGCCGTACTATCATAAACAACAATCGTAGTGTCCACGAGTAACGAGACAACGATGAGGAAACCATGTTACCAGGGTGGCAACTAAATACATTTACAGAAGGCCAACGTCTTGATAATTCTTGTGTGAATAGAACGTTGCATAGCTTTGAATTATTATATGCTCCCATGAACCAGTACTTGTACGTAGGAGGGGACAGAATTAACTGATGAAAGTCTTCCACTGTTTGCAGAGACGAAAACCTATTGTTAGAAACAGTATATACTGTTATGTGATTTCGTTAGGGAAAAGTACAATTCCGGTGTTAGAGTCAATGGCAGGTTTACCTGTGTGATTCGCTTGAAACTACCACCACTCTAGAATTGTGACAGGATCGTATTGGATGTTCCAATAAAAGAGTAAAGTAAAAGTGAGAGAGATGGTTGACTTGGAATGTCGTTTCATAGCCGTCTTGTGTCAGTTGATAAGGAATCGCGAATACTCCAGCGTTTAGTATCAGAATGTGCAGAGTTCTAAAAGTATAAAAGTGTTTAATCAGGGTAAATAGAACGTACGTGAGTTTGATTGCTTTACCTGTATTTTTGTTTAAATTTTTCGGCTGCTTCTTTAACGCTGTGCAACGACGACAGATCTAACTGTAATACTTCACACGCTGCAGTTTCTCTTTCTTGTTTAATTCTCTGTACGGCTTCCTCACCTTTCTTTGTATCTCTACAAGCCAAGATCACTTTGCATCCATGTAGAGCTAATGACCTAGCAGTTTCGAATCCTTCAGAATGGCAGAAAGCAAACAGATCAGAGTATGAAATTTCATCCAATATATACGATGCCAAAAGCAATTGTTTAAATTACCTATTCCTGTATTGGCACCTGTGACTATGGCAATTTTACCCCTTAAATCTCGACCGTGTAAAACTGATAATGCTGTGCTACTACCGTCGAAACGTTGCCTCACTGGCTGGGACGACTCCCTATATTCCGTAGCAAATGCGAGTCTTGGATCGGTGTAAGTAGTCGTACGATTCATGTGATCAACAAACAAAATTTGTCCATCTTCGGATACACATCTTTCCCATCCAGACGGTAATTCTTATGAACAGATAACGTTACCAAATTTCATTCGTAATTTGATTTAATAGTGTTTAACTATACATCATCGTTTTAAAAGCCGGATGCCAATATTAACAAGATTATATTCTTAATTTTGTTAATGCCACATCATAAATTCGTGAATTGTTTACATGAATTTTTTTTATTTGCATGGCATCAGCAAATAATTAAAAACTAACAAAATCAATTCGTGATATTGTACCTCCTTCAACAATTTTTGTGCGACCTGTCCTAGGATGTGTCCATTGCGTGCCTTTCGTGTAATGACTAAAGGGTAAAATATAATATTACAATTTGTATAATAAGTTTACGACTGTGTTACAAATCAGCATGATTGTTCGATGAATCTTAAATGTTATAATATTTATTATTTACTTTACGTAATAAACGTTTCCATTAGTAGTTGTCATTTCCTCCCAACCTGGAGGCAGTTCATCTTCACTATCGGAATCATTTAACATGCCTACCATCTTCTGTTTATTTCTATTTCACATTACGTACTTAATTTCTCACTACTTTATTCGCATTCGGTGATAGTATAAATATTAATTTATATGTACAAAAAATTCAAGTGTATGTGCACGTAACTCAAACGATTTTGGGGTTGCACGTGGCACCATCTAAGGAAGCCTGCTTGTCAGTGCTTGTCAGCCATGGCTTAGAAGGAAGCGGGAAGCGGTCGCTTATCAGCCATGGCTCGTTGTCAGTCAGGACATCAGGACTGAGGATAAACTTAGGTAACATTGATAACATTGTAAAATAAAATTGAAGTGTTAGAAGAAAATTGCAAAGGACCTTTCTTGTATCTGGCAACTGGGGCTACAACAACTTTCGTTTGAAACGTCTTTCGCTAGCTCTAATCGCTCTGTAGGAAACAGGTGTTTGTTATACTTATTCTTTTTATTGTACAATTATCAATTGTATAATCTTGTTTTTTCCATATGTACATTACAAAAGTATATTTGTATAGTTATAAATTATCTACAAAAAATATAAAAGCGGCAGGACATCGGAAATAAAAAATGTCAATAAAATATCCATCTACTCACGTATTAAACACACAGAAAAACAATTTTCAAGTCGCTATCGTTCTAAAATTATTAGTTACAAATAAGAAAATTCTTTGACAGCACGTACGAGGCAGGTTTACCTGTGTGATTCGCTTGAAACTACCACCACTCTAGAATTGTGACAGGATCGTATTGGATGTTCCAATAAAAGAGTAAAGTAAAAGTGAGAGAGATGGTTGACTTGGAATGTCGTTTCATAGCCGTCTTGTGTCAGTTGATAAGGAATCGCGAATACTCCAGCGTTTAGTATCAGAATGTGCAGAGTTCTAAAAGTATAAAAGTGTTTAATCAGGGTAAATAGAACGTACGTGAGTTTGATTGCTTTACCTGTATTTTTGTTTAAATTTTTCGGCTGCTTCTTTAACGCTGTGCAACGACGACAGATCTAACTGTAATACTTCACACGCTGCAGTTTCTCTTTCTTGTTTAATTCTCTGTACGGCTTCCTCACCTTTCTTTGTATCTCTACAAGCCAAGATCACTTTGCATCCATGTAGAGCTAATGACCTAGCAGTTTCGAATCCTTCAGAATGGCAGAAAGCAAACAGATCAGAGTATGAAATTTCATCCAATATATACGATGCCAAAAGCAATTGTTTAAATTACCTATTCCTGTATTGGCACCTGTGACTATGGCAATTTTACCCCTTAAATCTCGACCGTGTAAAACTGATAATGCTGTGCTACTACCGTCGAAACGTTGCCTCACTGGCTGGGACGACTCCCTATATTCCGTAGCAAATGCGAGTCTTGGATCGGTGTAAGTAGTCGTACGATTCATGTGATCAACAAACAAAATTTGTCCATCTTCGGATACACATCTTTCCCATCCAGACGGTAATTCTTATGAACAGATAACGTTACCAAATTTCATTCGTAATTTGATTTAATAGTGTTTAACTATACATCATCGTTTTAAAAGCCGGATGCCAATATTAACAAGATTATATTCTTAATTTTGTTAATGCCACATCATAAATTCGTGAATTGTTTACATGAATTTTTTTTATTTGCATGGCATCAGCAAATAATTAAAAACTAACAAAATCAATTCGTGATATTGTACCTCCTTCAACAATTTTTGTGCGACCTGTCCTAGGATGTGTCCATTGCGTGCCTTTCGTGTAATGACTAAAGGGTAAAATATAATATTACAATTTGTATAATAAGTTTACGACTGTGTTACAAATCAGCATGATTGTTCGATGAATCTTAAATGTTATAATATTTATTATTTACTTTACGTAATAAACGTTTCCATTAGTAGTTGTCATTTCCTCCCAACCTGGAGGCAGTTCATCTTCACTATCGGAATCATTTAACATGCCTACCATCTTCTGTTTATTTCTATTTCACATTACGTACTTAATTTCTCACTACTTTATTCGCATTCGGTGATAGTATAAATATTAATTTATATGTACAAAAAATTCAAGTGTATGTGCACGTAACTCAAACGATTTTGGGGTTGCACGTGGCACCATCTAAGGAAGCCTGCTTGTCAGTGCTTGTCAGCCATGGCTTAGAAGGAAGCGGGAAGCGGTCGCTTATCAGCCATGGCTCGTTGTCAGTCAGGACATCAGGACTGAGGATAAACTTAGGTAACATTGATAACATTGTAAAATAAAATTGAAGTGTTAGAAGAAAATTGCAAAGGACCTTTCTTGTATCTGGCAACTGGGGCTACAACAACTTTCGTTTGAAACGTCTTTCGCTAGCTCTAATCGCTCTGTAGGAAACAGGTGTTTGTTATACTTATTCTTTTTATTGTACAATTATCAATTGTATAATCTTGTTTTTTCCATATGTACATTACAAAAGTATATTTGTATAGTTATAAATTATCTACAAAAAATATAAAAGCGGCAGGACATCGGAAATAAAAAATGTCAATAAAATATCCATCTACTCACGTATTAAACACACAGAAAAACAATTTTCAAGTCGCTATCGTTCTAAAATTATTAGTTACAAATAAGAAAATTCTTTGACAGCACGTACGTTTTATTAAAAAATATCTCTTATCTATAAATTGTCTTTTAAGCTGCTATAAACCTATTCCGTTTTTTTAACTGAGTCTTTTCATGGTCATAGTTCGTGATTTTAATTGAGCGTTTTCTTTTTCTTAATGGTTTTGCATTTTGTTTCAACTGCTGCAAACTGTTTTTATCGTTGGCTTTGGACGTTGAAGATGAACAACATACTTTATCCAATGCTGCTCGCTGTAGATCAGTATCTGATACATCTCTCGCATCCGTTTGTGATTTATCAAACAAGAAGGAAGTGTTTTTTATAGAGTCTTTACACTCCACACTTTTACAGTTTATGTCTTCGACGACTACAGGTTCTTCTTTCTCTGGGATTAATTTGTTAAAGATTGCTTTCGGTATCGGGATTGGAATAGGAATAGGGATCGGTACAGGTATAGGTATAGGATATGGTACAAGGATTGTAACAGGGGGCAAGAGTGCCGTACGCAATGAATCAGAGGATTCGGTTGAATTGGACTCCTTAGACGATAAAAATTTTGGAGATGCAGCAGCATGATTTTGGTATTTCGTTTGACTAAATTCATTTGTACAGGACCTAGGTACATCAGAGATTCCACGGTGTATCATAGATTTAGTTGAATCAATGATCCAAGGTGATGATTGTAATGCATTTTCTGGTACATTAAGATCTCTCTTCTCTTGTAAATTTTTTATGTCTTTTACATGTATGCTCTTTTCTAAAAATATATTGCCGCAGCGATTGTTTAAATTACAGTTCAACATGTTACACTCTTTAAAATCCTTATAGTGCGAGTCGCTTCTTTCAGAATCTATTTTCGAACGAGTTCTGTCACTTGCTAAGTGACACAACTCATCCTTTTCATTTGTCGAAACTTCTTCGTTATGCTTATTCAGTTCTGTATAAAAATTCTTCCTTCTTTCATTACAATTGTTAGCTCTTACATTTCTCTTTGTACACATCGAATCCTTTTTTCTGGACGTCTTTTGATCAGATTCTATCAATTTCTCTGCATCGTTTCGCTCTTTTCTTGTCGTTTTACTATCGTAAATAGACGTGGTCAAATCGACTGTGTCCTCTGTGGAATTGTCCAACGGTGATTGACAAGTGCGAAACCAAAGTTCTGGCGTTATTAAGCTCTCTTTTTCTGCATCATGAAAAGAGGTATTGTTCAAGCCCTGGAGCATCAACTGAGTTTGCGTTTCGTGGCAGAAAATATTCATTTTGTATTGATTCAAACATTTCTCGCTACAGAATTTAAGTTGACTCTCGCCATCCTGAAAAGGATTTTCGTATCGTCAATCAGTTTTCTGTATCCGTCTATCACTTTCGCATACCTGAAGATCGGCATAGCTAACCGGATTTTGCATATGCCTGCACCAGTCACATGTTTTTGCACGCTTAAAAATTGCTCTCCTACCAGCTGCGAAACATGTCTCGCTGCAAAAGTGTCCCAATGTATTTACCACATAAGGAGCAGAGCTGCCTTTTCCTGGTTTGGTAGTTCTACCACACCAAGAACAAGGCATATTATCTATAATAATAGAAATTAACATAAAGAAATAATACAATTAATATAAATAGGAAAATCAGTTGCTCACGTGAACGACTGTACGTTATTACGACGTATGTATCTCTTTTTATTGTACCTGAATAAGAACGGCTTGGAAAGGTTTCATACGAATATTTACAATTCGATGTAGAACCGAAAGATACCGGTTTCACTGGCAAGGAAGATGATCGAAATTGTTTATTCATAGGAATTAAATTGTCATTAGAAACTTCGAAACCTAAATTAGATGCGTTCAATGACGGTGACTTTAATGTCAGCTTGCTGGGTATAACATTTTTTTCCATTTGAAATATCTGACTATGTCTTTTATCGGACGTGGATGTGAAATGATCCAAATTTAAACTTCTCGTACAACCACTGTCCACCTTATCGTATCCATACCATCCTAACAATTCACTGATCGTAGTCGCTGCGTATTCCTGCAATAATAAAATTTTTCTAAATTCAAAAATCCACCGCATCTATCAACTATTTTTCAAAATGAATCACGCATCGAATAATAAGCGGAAAACATTGATTTGAAAGCTAAGAAATTGTAATGAATGAAACGGGATATTCGCGTTAATTATAATGGAGTATGGATCAATGGATTGTATTACATTTTAATAGTATATGGATTATGTTACTCTCATGTTACACGTACATTATATATACGCTTGCTGCAGGCCACTGCGATACGATGAATTTCTGGCTTTGTCTTACAATTAGCATTCATTATACGTGTATAATTGGTGTTTAAATACGATATGTCATTAGTTCATATTTCGTACGGATAAATAATATACTCCACCTGAATTTCATCGCCGACCTCTTCTTCCTTAATTTTAATCGGTGTACAATTTTTTCTGAGGGAACGATCAACTCCATTGTCTTTATTCGACGATAAAACTACTTTCCGTGTGTCCTCTTCGATATTTTTTACATACGAACCAAACGTTCGATTGTCCATCACGAGATGTCACAAAATAATTTAAAACCGCCGTTTGTTCAAGCGTTTTAAAAGATTATCAGTTTTATCTACAGTAATGTATAAGGCGAATGGTATTTTTCATTTTCGTTTCTTTAACAATCTCGTGTCTGTAATTATATTATTATTATTCAGCACGTTTTCCCGAATTAATTAAAACATGTAATAGAATATCGCGACCGGGATGAGAAACAGTAATTAAATAAATTTCAATAACAGTAATAATTGACGCCGAAACAAGTAATATGTACGTACATGTTCGAATAGGTAAAACTAAAGCATCAAGCTGTGCCTAATCAAATTTCACTGATATTTTTAGGCCACTAAGGTAACACAACTCGTGTGAAAATAGATCGCATAAATAACTCGTCCAGTATCTTCTCTTCCTCGCCGACTTATAACAGAAAACTTCCTCACACTCCTCGGGCATTTATTTTCGTACAACGTTTTCACGATCATTACTCGATGATACCATGTACATGATTTTTTAAATTATACATCTGATACTCGACGTCGATAGGAAAAGATGTACAAAGACTTGCACCGTTTAAGAGACGTCTGTTTTTCTCAAGTACGACGCTTGTCATTTAAATAAAAGTCAGCGCCACTTGAGAATAGTCGATCGAAAACGCATTTTCTTTTAATAGAAGTACGCGACTGAGTTTACATTTAATTTAAACGTTCATCGTAACTTTCAATTCGAAGCGCGAGATGTAATAAAGATGTAAAACCGTTTCCGATCCAAATAAATAGGTAAGAATACGAAGATACTCGAAACGAAAAGAATAATTTAATTTCTTGCGCGCACTTGTCTCTAAGCATCCGCGATCACTCGTGAGATCAACATTTTTTTATGAATCGTAAGGATAAAGTCCTAACGAAGACTGGGTGGACACGAGAGTATAAAAACATCCGTGTGATTTGTTACAAACCGTCCGCGCTCGTTCGGTGCTGATAACGACTGACATGTTTCACGTACGGTTGTTCAACGTCGACTGATCGCTGGTTTTCATTTCCTCTTCGCGTCACTTTCGCAGGCTTCAAACTTTGAATAGAGTCCACGAGATGGGAATAGAATTTTTTAAACTACATTCGAATTTGTGCAATTTTCGATATTTAAATTCGTTCGTAAAAATAAATGAGTCGAGTCTCATAATCATTAGGTATTGAAGGAAAAGTCACATAACGCACATGTTGGGATTAAATTTCTTTTATTGTCATTCAATGATGATTATAAATGAAAAAGTAATATATCATTAGGAATTTCAAATACATACATGTACAGAAAAGTATAAAATTATACAAGTGTCTCAATAAATTAATGGAAACGTTTAAAATTTTAGAAGAACGTTTAAATTTGTTTAATTTCACCGCTACAATGTGGGCAACAAGTTATGTTTGAATCACCTCGTGGAAGAAATATTTGGCCACCGATTGCAACAGCTGCCCCCATGACTGCACTGCAAGCTACGTCCTGTCTTCCTGACATAAGTAGTTTCGGAGTCATAAGTAGCTGGAAATAAACGAAACAACGTAGGTATCGAAGAATGAAAATAAAATGAATACGAATGAGAACGAATGACTTACTTGTTCTGCAGTCTTCTCAGCAAGCGTTTTCATTTCTAGACCAGTTATATCGATTTCCTTTTGTAAATTGATGTTTTGTACACCGCTTAATAATTGAACTTTTAAAGTTTCTGCAAGCTGACAGCAGCCTTGTGCCAAGTCTATTATGTTTGAACTTGGTAAATTGTGCCTAAAGCAAGAGACAGCTCCTACGGGATCGAACTTTTCGCGCAGTATACTGAGCGTCCTATACGAAAGAATTAAAGGCGAAACATTTTCGTAGAAAGCATTAACAAATTAAATTATTTACAACGAAATTCACCTGTACGTTTTGAGAGACACGTCTCGTATGAGATTTCGGTCTTCCAAAAGCCTTTTTATTGCTTCCTGAAGATCTATGGTCCTTTGGGACAGAGCTGCCTTCCATTTCGCAAGTTCTTCGACCATTAAACTAAAAAAAATATTTGGCGTTGATTACGTTAGTTCTGTAAATTAAGTTTCTTTTGAATAGTTCCTTTGGCTTTCCATAAATGTTTGCGTTTCGTTATTTTCATTCATTTACCTACTGGCTAAGAATTTACTTCTCCAGACTTCGCATTGACCTGCTAGCCATTCCGTTTGTTCCTGATGGGTCGAAAGGTGCTGAGCAGAATTTAAGAGTGCTCTCGCAAGTTGCAACTTATCTTCGGTCAATAAATGAACCTTCGTCTCAAGATCTTCTCCAACAGCAGCAACTAATAAATTTTTCAACTCTCCATTTACCTGTTTCAAAGAATTTCGCATTGATCATCGAGCTTACTTGACAAAATTAGAATGTAATACCTGTGCTTGAAATTTTAATTGATTCTCTAGTTGACTGTTCTCATCCTTAAGCTTTTGTATTTCTGCCTCGTATGTCTTTTTCTCTTTCAACCATTCGCTATCTACAGATTTATCTTTACTCACAACCTTAACATTGTTAGGAGATATTTCTGTCTCATGAAGTTTCATTGCTGCGACTTGCGAGACAGTCATGTTCACGTTTACAGCAGCTTTTTGTGACTTCCTATTTTTCTTTCCATATGGAACGATCGGATTAACCGCAGCTTTATAAGGCTCGTAGGGGACAAATTTTGGTTCTTTTAACTTCAATGAATTCAAAATATGCTTTTCATCCTTTACGTTAGCAGCATGCCTCGGTACTAAATTGACTATTGGACCATTTGGAGTAACTGGAGGAATTGAACTCAATTGTTTCAAGTTCATCGGATGATAAATTAATGTTTCACCAAGGCGAGATTTTGATCGTTTAACTTCAGTTTTTTCGATTATCACATTTTCCATCCCATCTCCTTGCGTACGCATAGTACAGCCCATCACTTCTACATCTTAAACAAATATTAGTAACAGTTTAATATCTGAAGATATAACCTCGACGTCATAAATATGTGTCATTAATCGAGCAGAGTGGCCAGTGAAAATTTATATTTTAAATGAAAAACATATGGACATTACAGTCTTATAAAGAAGAAAAATTCGTGATTGAAAAATAGTCTAACCTTGGGATTTAGATTCGGGTTCATCCTTCGTTGAAACAGATGCCATTTCCACTTTGATTTCGTTGTATTTAGGAAAATTATAACAAAATACCCTGTACAAGTATTATAAAAAGATTATGAACTATCTTTGTGAATCATTATTATTCTACTAGTAGTGCAGACGATTTAATGAAAGTTGATGAAAGTGACATGTCAGCACAATCAAGCAAAGTGTTATTAACTTACATGCACGCGCATGAAATAGTATATGCTGAAACTACATGAACAGTACTTACGGCAGATGTATTACATTTAAATATTCTTAACATCTTGTTTATTTCAAGTGAAAAATCATTTCATACATAATATTATTTATACATTTAGTACGTAGAAATTCGTACATGATGACTGGATAAGTAATAATTTAATTAATTATATGTAAACTTGCTCTTCATGAATAAGGCAAGATAAATGAATTTTTGTTTAAAGTTTTGTCGAATAACAATGTACTTTGTTGTATCGATACGAGCTATGTTATCGATACGATTATTTTTTTTATTGCCGTTTTATCAGCTGAGGCCGGAGGCCAGGAAGCAGCTGATTCTCCTGAACTGTTGTCAATACGATTACGGATCATCCTGAAAAACGTCAAATTAATGACTTCATATTATAACAATGGATTTGATACAATAGGAAATATTATAACAGTACCGAGATGATCCGAAATAAATTTCTTATCGTAGAAAATTAAAATATACAATTTCTCCATTTTAAACGAGAAAAGATGGATGCGAAAGAGTATAAAAAATATATGCAAAGGATCGCTCAAGCTGAGGCCAAAGTCGATAATGCGGCTCCAAGATTTGATGTGACTACGTATTATAAAACCCGTAATTTACTGATTGATTTTAATCGAGTGCGAGAATTAGATCGAGAAAATATGAAATTATTAAGACGGTTGAATATAATAGCGAGATTAGGGGTACGTTCTCAAGTTATAACATCGTGATAGAAAGAAACATTCGTTTTATTCCCTTATGCACATCTGAATTAGGGAACCATTGATTGTTGGTTGCCACAAACGATAAAATACGTATCATCTCTCGCGGATCCGCGGTTAGAAAACAGACAGATCACCGAACAGAACACAAAGCTTTTGCGAAGAATTCATAACGCGAGCACCAATTATTCCACTGCAGAATTCATACAGAGCTGGAAGGAAATGAAAGAAAAGACAATGCATGGCAGAAAGTAATTGCTTATCCAAAAAGATAAGTTTAATAGACAAAGATATAGGGCATAAGCACATCCAATTCGATAGATTTCAGAAAGAGCCTGCTGGTCACATCATCGGATTAGAATCTCATCAAGATCATTGCATGATCAGAGACTTGTCATTATTGAAAGACATGAATCCTTCGATACGGACTAAATGTTTCATTGAGATTGAAATCCTAGAGGACAAGCAGAAGTTAGGACGAATTCATTTTGAACTTTACGACGACGTCGTACCTCAGACGTGCGCGAATTTTGCAGAATTGTGCCATGGCTACAATGGTCTTTCCTATAAGTGATTACACTTGAAATCTTATCATTAATAAATGGCTCATAAAACATGATACAAAAATATCGAATAATCGATGGATAGGAATACACCGTTACATCGAATTGTTTCTGGTTACTGGTGCCAAGGTGGAGACGTTACCAAATATAACGGAAGTGGAGGAACGTCTATATATGGTGAATCATTTCAGAATGAGAACTACCATTTGCGTCATGCTGGCCCTGGAATTTTGTCTATGTATAACGATGATGGAAATACATCCAATTCCAAATTCAATCTTACCTTCAGGAAACTGGAGACAGTCGATGGGAAGCATGTAGTTTTTGGGAAAGTTATTAAAGGCCTTTCGAATATTTATAAGGTAAATGGGTCGATGGAAACATTTCGTTATCATTTTTACCCTTTGTCCTTTTATGATTTGCCAGCTTGAGGAATTCGCGACGAAAACGGGAAAACCATATAAAACGATAATCATATCAAATTGTGGAGTCATATCAAGAACCGTAAACAGTTGAGCAGGATTGAACAGACATAATGACGTAGTATGAAAAATACAGTCTATAAAAGTATATTCTTTTCAGTTATTTATTAATTTTTACTGACGTACAATAATTTATGTTGAGACATCAGTTTAGCGTCAACATATTTTATTCTGTATTGCTTATACGAATATGACTGACAAAAATTGAAGAAATATTTCTCTTAGAAAAATGTTAGCAAAACCAGAATTCAATGTTAAGTTTCATAACGATACAAGTATCTTTCTGAGATGTACAAAATATATATATATAAAGTTAGTCTATATTAGTCTATCTGTATATAACGATAAGACATGTTTTAAAGTTTATGCATATAATTAATGCCATTCGTACCTACATAGATATATTAAAATATCGATTGAATAAATATACTGACTTGATATGATACAATGTCATCGATTAAGGCACGAGTACAATCTTGTCTGTATCATTGATGAGTTAGAAATTGCACACCTCTATATGAAATTATTTGCACAAATTGGCATGACATGGTTCCTGTCTCTAAGCCGGTATTCTTTTTGGATTTAAATCGTACATACGACGCATACGTTTTTTCAATTCTTGCGGAAACTTGTCGTAGCACTTTTTGCAAGCTGGCTTTAGATCGAATTCAAAGAACTTAGTTTTCTGATTCATTTTCTGGTCGCAAAATGCACACGCAAAGTGATGAACGCACCAGGCTTTGTTCAAAGCCGTAAAAACTGGAAAGTACGAAATATACGGTCACGTCGTTTTAATTTCTCTTAACTAAATGATTGAAGTACGATATATAGTAAAAACGATAACTTACCATCGCCGGATATAACTTGATTACATACGAAACACAAATTGCCAAACAGTTGGTGGTAGTGCGTCTCGCAATAAGCCAAACCCTTTTTCTCATAATGTCGATGACCTAAGAACGGCTTTTCGCATTTGGCACAAACGAAGTGCTCAACATGCCAGTGTTTGCCCAAAGCAGTCACGACTCGTTCTTCTATCGGGCGACGGCATGCACCACAAATTGGGATTCCCATTTTATCGTGACATCTCAAACAATACAATTCATTCTGAAAAAGCCAGTAATTAGATCGATGTTTCAAGATGATACAATATCGATGTATACCATTTCGTTGGCAGCATATCCTGGCCTAGAATTAACTTCTCTAGCATCTGAGTTCAGTTCTACGCCACATGCAGTACAATTGAAGTGATATGGGTGATAAAGTTCTCCACGAAAACGCAGGGGTTTATCATCGATTACACCGCTAGGAAGTTAGTAACGTTAATAAACATACTTATATTTTAAGAACGGAAGTTTAATTATCAAAGATATATACTGGCACTGGTGACAAATATATTTCCCAAGTGCTCCTGCCTTAACACGTGCGTTACATGTATGGCATAGAGCTCTACCCTGGCATTTAATAAATCCTGCGTCAGCTAATTCACCATTGCACTCCTCACAACGGAAGCATGCAGGGTGCCAATTAGCGTTCATAGCTTTTATCACGCGGCCAATAACAAATTCTCCTACGTATGAAAAGGGAAGATTTCAAGCATTCATGATATTGCAATGTACATAATTATTTAAAACAGTTCATCGGCATAACTTACCACATTTCTCACAGCAGGGTGCGAATAAGACATGGAAATCATGTTCACAATATTTATAGCCCTCAAACTCATAAAATATCCCATCTGGGAATGGGCGGAAGCATTGGGCACATCTAACAAAGTAAAATGTTACAACAAAACGTTATAGGATACATTTTATTAGTATTTTAAAATGAATTGTTATAACATGTTCTTACACAAAGCATTGAGGGTGCCATAATTCTCCATTTGAATTGACAATCTTTTCATGAGGTACAAAACCTTCTCGACACCGAGAACAGAACATATTGTCCAAAGACATCTCTGTAACACTTTTCAAATTCATTCTCGTTAATAACACTATTTATCAATTGTCAAATCGCAAGAAAAATACATAGCCAAAAAAGTAGGTTTAATAAACATTCAATTAAATCATTAACGAAGTTCAAACGAATAAAGAAGACATATTTCACATCGTATGCGTATATAATTGATAAATCTGAAATAATACATTTGCAAATCGTAATACAAGGATTTATAATAACGGGCGTAAAATGAAATACCTGGAAATTAATTTTGCTGATGGGAGAGATATCCTACAACAGTATGTTTCGGAAGAAAAATAATTTGTGCTTACCCTGGCATTCTTTAATGATAAAGAAGAGCTAATTAAATCTCACAATTCTTATCAACTGTTGTTACTTGAATTTCTCAGCAATATTAATTGTTATTAAAGTTTGTTTAAAAATTACTTTATAAAATACCTAGTATTTTCATACGATAGAATGTACTGTGTAAATGTATTTTTAATTGCACTCTATTTAATATTATTCGAGAGATGAACACTACTAGTAGTACAGTTTTACATTTAAACAGATTTAAGTTACGATTCGTTATATACTTAGAATAAAAATTACGTCATGAATTAGTGCACCGCCTTTTCTTGTACCGATCATTTGGCTGCGGTAACCAATCAAACGTTAGAAATCTGGAATTACCTTTTATGAATTATTATTCCAAACGCCGGTGTACAATTATATAGATACGAAATCTTGTTACAGCGAATTATAAAGGAGAATGTTTATATTATTCGAACTAAATATTATTGGGAATAATGTAAAGGATTGACAATAAGATAAGAGACAGGCTCAGACTCAGAGGATCGAGAGGATCGAAAATTTAAATTGCGTGTATAAGGGCAACTGAACGATTTTGAATTTGAGATTCGTGTACTGGAAATTATAATCCCTTAGAAGTCGAAGAAAAGATTGCATTATTTAAATTATTACATATTCCTTTTGCGGATTGCAAATTAAAGATTACCTGGCAAAATGCAACTTCCCTAGTGGGCAGGAAGTGGACACAAGACGGCGACTTCCTTCGAAGCGTCGTAGGCGAATCTTTCTTTTGTATAACGTATACCATTGACCATGCCGTTTACTGCTATGGCGGTATTGGTGTTTCACGGAGAAGGAAGTAGATTTTCTGCAGAGTAAGTCAATATTGTTTTCATCTCTTTGCATGTATCTACAAGAAATGTTCCATTGTGTCTCTATAAGTGAATGCTTATATGAAATCTGTGCTGTTACGACGTTGCAGGATGATTACAATTTGAACGGGCAAGGTTTAGTTGCACTTTTATAGACTACAGAATTCAGTTTCTTCCATATTGATCAATGTGCTAGCCAATATAATATAATCTTACTTCTGAAAAATAGAAAAATCCAGTTACTGATAATAATTGTTCCTCGAGGAGTTCACCGCCTTGTAAGAATACGACGCCAAAAAATTCGCGGTACTTATTCTCAATCATCTTAGGTTAGAATGATTTAAGTACCATTTGATGATTTCACATAATTTGAATACTCGTACAACAATTTGCCAAATTGTTGTTCGAGATCACAGTTACACAACTGCACATCATTTTCATTTAGTCACTGACAAATCGTGTGGTAAAGGACATACGCTTAGATACTACGTTGGATATTTAATTTTGTGGAGGGAGTAAAGCAACAAATGCATTTCTAATAAATATACAGTTTTTCTTAATGCACTATAATTGTATGTCTTTAAAGACTTTATGTTCTCAAACATCTTACATTTAATATTATAATAAGAGTTAAAGTCATATCAAAACAAAATAGATAATGTATTTTAAGACGTATACATTCCTCTCTTCTTTGTCATAATTATAGGTAATACTTGATATTTTATTATCTGAATGGACAATAAGGTGGATGTCTCTGAAGTAGAAAATATTTCAATGATTGGATCATCTGAAATTTTTTATCTGCCCGAAGTTGCAGAGATATCAGAGGTGTTAGATTCCACTGGTCTTAGCCCATTAACTTCGTCTTTAGATCACACCTTGACCCTTCAGGAAGATAAATTGCTTTCATCGGAGGTTAATATGGGCATAGAGGATACATGGTACCGACCGATCTCGTTTATACTAATAATTCACTGATCGAATCCAGTGAGTCAGATTGTTATTCGAATATAATTACAGGACCGAAGCGAATGGTTCCACGTCAGATTATGCTATTCCACTACCACCACCGCCCGGTTTAAACGATTTCGCGGATGTTGGTGCGGATCCTATTAGCGATAGCGGGACGGGTATAGAGTACGGCCCGTTCTTACCTCCTGGCACTCCGGCTCTGAACAATTTGTTCTCCGAAGGTGGAGATTCCCAAGATGATTCGCCAATGGGTAAACATAAATTTCGATACATCTTCATTCGGGCGAAAACGATAGCGATCGATAGCTGAAACTTTTCTCACGTGCGTTACAGAAGATGTAGTTTTACGTGCCGGGGTATGCGGCCTCCGTAATCTCGGTAACACTTGTTTCATGGCTGCTGGATTGCAATGCTTGACCGCGACACCGCCCGTCTTGCGACATTTTCTGGATTTACAGCAACGGGGGGAGAAACTGCCTCCCTCCGGCTCGCTGATGGCACACTTCAGCGTGCTGCTTGGGAAAATGTGGTCTGGCAAATATAGCGTTCTCAGGCCTACCGAGTTTAAACAGACTTTAGGCGCATATCATTCGCAATTTAAAGATTACAGACAGGTAAATATTTAGGCTAGTCCAGTTGATAACATAATTGTTAAGAGAACGACTTGAATACTCAGGGAGGGTAATGATAATTAACAGCACGATTGTCAAGAGTTTCTTGCACTCCTGCTGGATTCCTTGCACGAGCAAATGAACACGGCTAAGTCCACGAAAAATTGTCAAACTCCATCGTCTACAACCACTGCCAACTCGATTAATTCGATTGAGAATTCGAACGGGAAAAGCGTGTCCCCGATCACTGCCACTAGCAATTCCAATTGTAAACCAGATTTGTTGGAAATGTACGAATGTCTACCATCGCCAGAATGCCCGAACAGTCCTAACATTACGATGGCAGGCTCACCGAGAGGTCAGAACATTTACTATCCGTTTGCATAATAAATATAGAATTTTCTGTAAATCGTTTAAATTCTCTGTAGATCTCGGTTCTCCAATAGGGGAACTAGATAGTATTGCGAATTCGCCACGAGGCTCACCCTTGAACGATGGCGACGATGACGAAGGGACGCTCGATTCGGACGAGACCGTCGAAGCGAAGTCGAATACGTTCATTCACAATCAGGTCGACGGAAAGAAAAACGAAGTTACATCTTCCCTAAGGCTGGAGACACTGATCGAACTTTCTAAAAACGTTCCAAAGTACCATGGTCTTTACGACATTCATAAGGAGGCAAAGACAAGCAATGCGAATTTCTTGGTAACGCAGCAAGAATGTAACAACGAGATTCATTACGATTCCCAAAAGTTTCCGAAGGAGAACATTCGTAGAATGCCTTTGGACAATTCGAACTTAATGGAGAATCATGATTTCGACAATAAAAGTATCAGCGTGAAAAGAATAAAAGAAGTCAATGTTGAAAAAGTCAATTGCGGCGTGGATTACGCATCGAGCGGTTCCGACATAGAGTACGACAACGGTTTAGAGAAATGCAACGTGAAACGAATGAGACTCGACGACCAAGAAAAGAATCATAAACGCGACGGACAAGGAACCATCAGTACTCAGTGTACACGAGTTCCGCAAAGTTACGGGAATGGCGTTATAGAAACGCAAGACGAGATCGAGGCAGACAAGCATTGGGCGAAACATTTGAGATCAAACCGAAGTATCATCGTCGATACCTTTCAAGGACAGTTTAAAAGCAAAGTAAGTCGATCGTCGCGTACAATGCTTTTAACCGAGGAGACTGTACGTTGGGGTAATTAACTTGATTGGCTGGTCTTTACCGTAACAAGTCTCCCATATTAAAATTCAGCAGCTATCCCTGTTTGCTTTAAGAAGCACTGAAAGCACGTCTCATTCTGCTGATACATAACGATGGTCAAACAACAATTGGTACATTTGCAAATGCGAGACCTATACAGTCTAACGTTTTGTTTCCTTTGCAGGTCGTTTGTGCAGTATGTAATCACATATCTGTAACGTACGAACCTTTTATGTATTTATCTGTTCCGCTACCTCACGCGATGGAAAGGCAATTGAACGTTACGTATGTCCCTGCGAACGGCGATCAACCTGTCAGATGCGTTGTTTCATTGAACAAGCAGTCGCGGATTGGCAAATTAAAAGAAGAGCTACTGAAAACGCTTGGCAAAGAAAATATTGCAGTAGTGAATATTGCACTTGCCGAAGTTCTGTCAAACCATATATCAAAAATTCTGGTAAATATAAAAAACTTGATTGTACGATAGCACTAAGTTCAGTAAGTCCAGTTTAATTATATCACGAAAAAAACGGTGTGTGGGTCTTAATTCGTTTGAAACACGAGCATGGAGGGTGAAGAAGGCGGCTCATCGAGAAGTCTCGGTAATCGTCGATACTGTCCTCCAAGATTAAACGTTGTGGAAGAACACTCTCGTAGCGCAAAGCTTAGTTACGAGGCTACATTCCATACTACAGATTCAGAATTACTCTTCACCTTTTTATATGAATTCTGTTGGTATTGGCTCATGGCTACTGTTTCTTTTCCATTTCATCCTTGCACCGTAGGCGTCGAGAATTATATATTTCGCTGGCTGTAGCTTATTGCGCTAGACGAAATTCTCTCTATCTGTTTTTACATCGAGATTTTACATTCAAGGATGACAACACACTTTTGAGATACATCAACGATACGAGTCGTTCTATATACGCGTTCGAGCTCACGGAACCTCCGGACGCGTACACTTCTGTGCCAGACGGTGGCGGAGATCGCATAATGGAAGTTGATTCCGACCAAAAGTGTACGGTTACCGGTGAGGAGATTCCGTGTATGATTTGTCTCGAGGAATTGGACGGGGATTTAAAGAGGCACAGTGGAAACAGCTGCAATTTCGTTATGTGCGATACGTGCATCGAGGTGAGACGTTTTTAAAATATCATCGAAAGTAAATTTTCAAATCGATCGAAGTATTTATTCGTGTAATCGTAACTGATACGATGACCCAATGATGAAAACGGCAGCTTCAATCTAGCGGAAGGGGTGTACAAACGAGGTACATGGTTACCATGGTCTCACCCCGGGAAGGTCTGAGATTAAATCGACTAACGTTCTAGAAGGACGGTACCGTAAGGGTACGTGCGGGAACCAGAAACAGCTTTCCGTTGCCAATCAGCCTGGGAAACTTCGTTCGAAGTAGAGGCGTACGGTAACGGAAAGATGGAAACCCGTATGATTCGCTATTTGAGTACAATCCGCAAGCCGGAAAACTGATTTTCTGGAACTCAATTCAGACTAATCTGAGGCTGCCGTATACTGAGGGTACTTTATTAAATTATAAAACGACGATAATACGCGACATTGAAAGAAGAAAAATATTTCGTACTGCGTAAATTATTCTTTACTCTAAATTTAACAGAATTACTTCAAGAATCAAACGGAACCGCAAATGTGTCCGATGTGTTCAACGTATATGACCGCGTCGTCGTTCGTTAAAATAGATCAAACGGGCCGACCGAGGCCCGCGGTCAGGATCTTGAACGTACCGTTGGTTCTACGTCACGACACGACCAACGAAACGTCGAATAATCGGAAGGGGACAAAATTGTTCGGTTATCCACATTTAGTAAGATTACCTTCGCGAGTGAACGCTGAAGACTTGTACGACGTTGTAAACAGGAACGTGCCGCAGGAGGGAAGTTACACGCTTCATTTTGTTACCGGACAGGTTCGTATACGGTCGCCTATTGTTCCTTTGTAAAGGTATGAGTTAATGAACGTTGGATCTTCTTCTATAGGGTCACCATTGTTCCCGCTGCATTTATACTAAACATTGCACGGGATGCAGCGTACCCGAAACCGGTATGGTGGTCTTGTACAACGACGATACCCTGGCTGTGCGTTACACGGAACAAGTTCCTAAGATCGCGTCTCCAGTTGATCACGTCAGCGTCAGCAAACAGAGGCCTCATCATCCTTTGTCCTTATACGACTGTCTCCAAGCATTTAGTCAAAGGTAGAATTGAAATTCTGCTTCTGTTCCGAAGATTATTCTCGGTATGTCGTTTAATTGAAATTCATATGAATTGTTTAGCGAAACGCTAGACGAACACAACCCTTGGTTTTGTCCGAAATGTGAACGAAACCGGTGTGCCACGAAAACCCTTACAGTTCATAGATACCCCAAGTTCCTTATAGTATACTTGAAACGGTACGTCTATTTCTTCTGAATTGCACAGCTACCGATATGATAAGAAAATTGTACATCTGTCTACTCAATGATTTTCTCTTAAGGTTCGTATTTTACGAGTGCACCAGTATGAAATTGGACGATAAAGTCACATTCCCGTTGGTCGGTTTGAGCGTGGGTCAACACTTATACGATCTGTACGCTTGCGTCTGTCATTTCGGAGGTTCGTACTTTCTCACTCCACTTGCGCGCTTTCGTTTCACGCAGTTTTCTTACGTATTGAAGGAGTCTCGGCCGGGCATTATACAGCGTACGCGAAGAACCCTCGCACTGATGTGTGGTACTATTACAATGACGAGATGACGAGCAGACAGAAACCTCAGGAGGAAGATTTTAGCAACGCTTATATACTTTTCTACAGTCGGCAAGGGACCAACTTAAAATCGTGCAATATATAACCAGTGCTGGAACGTGCGAACTGGCAAAGTGGTGTCAGTGAGATGGGAAGAGTAACGAAGGGAGTAGAAGAATCAAGGGATGAGCACGAGTCTGCGAGAGGCCGCCTCGACGGATCGATCGGACCGAGTCGAATCGGACGGAGAACTGTTCACAAATGTCGTTATCTATTTTTCCTAGCGATTTGCCTCCGCATCTCCTTTCTTTCCTCACGTTGTCCAACGTGTTTCGCTATACTCTTCGCCGGATTCCTGGTGAACATCTTTACAAATGGTGTAGACAGTACTGCATATAATTAGCTATCTATGTAAAGTGAATTTAATGGACGGGGTGGGAGGGAGGGGGGTTGTTACACGTAACACGATCGGAGAATCGGTTTTGTAATTCTCAGATTGGCATTAACACGATAGCAGAAGCAACAACAAGTGCGCGCGCGGTTACTCGGTAATTTGGACTAATACGCGTATTTATACCAGATAGCGTGTAAACGTACGTCGAGTTTGTACAGTAGGTGATTAAACGTAGAATTCGAGGTTTTGAACAGACGTAATTTATTAGTGAATAATGGCGAGCGTTACGACTAGAAGACACTTAAGAGTTACGATCGTTGATAACGGAGCGTAATCTATGCATTGTTTCCTTTTTACTCGAATCGATACAAGACTGCTAAACGATGTTTTCTGATCTGCATCTACATTGTGTACCAATGCGAAACGTTGTATTTGCAGATTATTTATTAAATTAGTTCTGTTGTAATTTTATTACAAGACGTTCATTTTACTCGTTACGTCGCGCTCGTATCCACAGGCGTACACGAAACACACGCACGCGTTATAATACATAATCTTCATATCTGTTGTTAGCGTGCTACACGTGGGCCTATTATTGTATCATAGATACCTTCGCCGTATAAGTTCACCGTGGAAATTGTCGTGAAAACAAACTGTCTCAATATCTTCCGTCAAAACAAGAGGACTTTTGTCGGCTAAAAGTGATTACAATTGTATTATATTTTATGTTCTGCTCAGCACACACGTAACTTCGTGGCTGTCCCTCCGTTTTCTAATTAACAATTAGCTAGCATATACAAGTTGACGAACTTTCGGCTATAATATGTCATTGACTCTCGACATTAAAAAGAAATTTAAATATATTGTTGGAAATAAAGGAAGAAGTCAATGTTTTGAATTGTTCAACTACGTACGTACTCGAGTTCTCGTGATATTTCAATTTTAATGATTCACGGCTCTCATCGGGAAACGATGAACGTTCTAATCACTATCTCCAAGTGAGTATCTTTATAGCCATGGAAAATTTATTTGAAAGAGAGAAATATATATATATATAAGTACAAAGATGGAGATATGCAAAATTGAGGAGAACTAAGGCCACCGATAGGATAACGATTAGGTACGTTAAATATGTATGTAAAAGACGATCTTTGGTATGTACATTAAAAATCTTATTGATAAATGTTTCACGATAAATGTTCGCATTTTAACGATCAAAAACGGTTTTATTCGCACGACGGTGTCAAAAATACGCTGTTAATACTTATCGAAGAGCGGTGTCCCGAAAACATTTGAAATACTTCAACGATAACCACGGGTAATGGTACGTAATGTCGGTGTTAGAATATATTTCTCGAAACTTCGTTCGTACTTTTCACTAATATAAAAGAAGGACTACGGTTCCTCTACCCTTTCAAACGGTGAGATGTACATGATACTTGTTCCACGCAGTTCACGGGTACTTTTAATCTAGACGCACTTCGCATCGTTGTTACCGTTTCGATTGCTCAATTCAAAGACACTGTGAACCATACCACCGCTCCGGGATGTACTAGGCCGCCGATCTCGCAATTTATCGTCCGGGTCTCCCCGTTCAAGACGAACAGCGCATCGTTAGACGGGCTGACCATGTATTTGCCAAACATGCCACTCTGTACAATTGGTCTGTTCGGGTTTCCCCACTTGGTCAGATTGGGTGGTGTCGCTTTGCCCACTCCTGTTATCATCTCCACTTTGCCTATAATAAAACGCATAGTATTAGAATTCCCATCGGAATTCCCGTCGACGTCTGAAAAATGATTATTTTACCAGTGGAGAGATCGAGGAACAGAATGTTCTCTTTGTCGATCGACGATGCGTATATATCGTAGCCGTGCGTCGTTTGCGATGGATAGAGCGCGATATCGCTGATGTTCAAAGTCGTTTTCACGTCGAACGCGAATTTCAAACCATCGGCTAGAAGGAAAAGATTGTAGACCGTGAATCACAGATCGATCGCAGCGTCGGTCTCGGAAAAGGAGAGCTCTAATTACGTAATATTTCCTGCACGACTAAAGTGACGCCCGTGTCCTTCTTGTCCAAAGTGACGAGGTGTCGAGAATCGGGCGAAATGGTCGGTTTCCCTAAAAGGTTCGCTTTGTGAGCGAGAACGGTGTCGGTCAAATAATCCAGCAGCAATTGTCCCGTCGGCTGATTGGTAAGCGGTTCCTGGCACTCGATCACTACGAACCCGTCTGAAAAGCAACGGACAGTCGCGGATTTATGGCGACAGCTGTCGAGACCGATAAATCAGTCGAGAAGAATTACTCACATAGAACCGAGAACTGAACGTTCACCGGCACGCAATTATAAGAGCTTAAATCAGCGCTCCGTGTATATTTCATGTTCTTCAGATCGAGCTTGTACATGTTACGTTGGTTCCTGTGGCTCACGTAACCGTATTTGAAGGTACCATCGATATCCTACAGAAATTTGAAAGAAGAATCAGTACAAATAGTGATTGACTGTTTCCAGGCTTTCCAGGGCTCAGACGTCACATCAGCTTAACGATTTATGAAAATGACTCACTTGCGGTTCGGGAATGTAGATGTTTTGAATGATGTCGAATTGAGCATCGATCGGTTCCGGCCGGATGGCCCTGTGCTTCTTCTTCTGAGACGCGTCTTCGATCACTTGTACCGTCTTCACGTCGATGTCTTCCTCGTTTCGCCAGTTCAATATCCATACTTGATCCAGAGATGCCACGTACCACAGTTGAACCGGGTTTCTGTCCGTCGGCACGACCTGATGAAAAATCCGAGGCCGTAGTTTCACGTTTGATCGATCGATCCGATACGAAAAGTTTCACTCACGTCGACTATGACCATCTGTATCTCGCTGATCACCAGCACCCGGTCTTTGTCCGGTTGAGTGACGTATACGTATCGATTCGCCACGTTGATCGCGCGTCCCCACGAGCAAGGAACGCCCGCCACCCCGCACACGTATTCCTGAATCGTGAAATTAGGTCAGAAAACGAGAAATGAATTACCCGCGGCTATCGGCGAAACAATTTTAACGAACGTCACCTGGGTACCGGGTATAACGTCCGTAGAGCGGATTTCGTGCCGCGGCCGGCAAGCAGAGGGTTCGTACACTAAAATGCCCCATTCGTGAAAAGAGAAGAACCTCCTCTCCTCGTTCTCGGCCGCTAGATCGTCCAATCGTAATAGTTTTATCAACACGATCAATAAAACCAAGCTACTCTCGAAATGATTAAATTTAGTTTTTACGTCTCGTACTCGGGGTCGGTTGCTCTTGGACCACTAAGCTGCTGATGTCCCGGGTGACACCGCCGACGCTGCTGGCCTGACACATGTAGGCCCCGGTGTCGGCGTAATCAACGTTCCTGATGATCAGCTTAGTACCGTTCCCGACGAGGTCGTACTTGTCCGGTAGTTCGTGGCTCAGGGGTTTGTCGTTCTTCAACCACTGAACCGTCGGCAGAGGCTCACCAGCGACGTGACACCGTATAATCGCCTCTTCCTTCAATCGTTTCGCTTGGAATCGCGGCGTCACTTTTACCTCAGGTATAGCTGTGGACAGAGACATTTTATTACGTTTTTATTAGCTCACTTTCTTGTCTGTCTGTTCGGTTTTGCAATTGATTTCGAAGTTATAAGTTTTAAAACGTGAAACGCGGGGCGTACTATTTATGCATCAATTATCCATTGCATGCGCCCCACGTTTTTCGTTTTCAAACTTACAGGTACCTTATAATTATTTTTTATACTATTTAGTCCGATTCAAAAACGTGGTATATTAAACATTCTTTTTTATTTAAATAATGTTAAAAGCAAGCATTGCAGAAACAAGTGATGAGGAATGCTCACTGTGAACGGTGAGCACGTGGGTCTGAACGACGTCTTGATTCCTGACCGCGTGGCAAGTGTAATTCCCAGCGTGTATCAGCTGGACTTTCGTCAGGTACAGACTGCCGTCGTTGAATACTCGAATCTGAAAAGAGATTCGTTAATCCGCGGTTCCGTCAGATAATCCATCGATCCACGGTTCCGAACCTCGGGCTCGTTTAAAGTCTCCAAATTGGCCTCGTTACGTTGCCATACCAGCGGAGGCGGCGGTGTGCCCGTGACGTCGCACTTAATTTCCACGTTATCGCCCACTCGCGCGGAAATATGGTTCACCTCGAGGGATTTGTCGAGGGACACCACCGAGACACCTACGAACGACAGTACCGGTTGAAAAGACGCGAGCGTCGGGAATACGCTTCATTAAGTATCTCCGGCGTGCATGAACGAACATTTTTTCAACTCCCAGTCCTCCCGTCGCGCGGTTCAAATACTCACTGTAGAGTTTACTGAACGCCATGTAAAATTCATTCACGTTTAATTTCCCATCGCCGTCCGTGTCGTCGTAACTGATCATGTGTCCCAGATTGCATCCCCTGCACAACTCTTCCAAATCCTCGTTCTCCGCAAACTTTCGAGCAACGCATATCGATATAAATAACGTGCGATTATCAGACTGCGGATTTTCACGCGGAACAACTCGTTTAATAAATGCATTTTTTTTAGATAGACAATAATTTTATTATTTAAAATACCGTAACACGAATTCGTCTTTCAATGTTTATTATACACGACGAGTGTTTGTTATATTTTCTGCAGATACGATTGTTCTATAAACGCGTAAAACCCGCAGCCTGGCGATCATCCGCGATCTGTCGTATAAAAACTTCTACCTGTTCCAATTCCTCGCGTTCAAGATTACCATTATTATTCCTGTCATAATGAGAAAACATTATAGTGACGAGGTAATCCTTGTTGTGGTTGTCCTGGGACATCAATCTCGCGTGGTTGTACAGCAGCAGATTATCCTGATCGAGAAACGAGTTTAACAGATCGAATTAAAGTCGAACTGTTGAGAGAAACTGTTTCGGTTCAACATCGTCCTACCTTCATTATTTCGTACTCCTGACTCGAGCACTCCTTCGAGTAGGAATCGTTCTTCTCCGGTATCAAGTTATCTCTCAACCCGTCCTTCTTTCGGTTCCGGGATTTCGGATAAGAGACGAGTTTGCTCATCCTAGACGCTGTTCTGTTCACGTGCAGAGTTCTTCGGATGTGCGCGTTCTCGATGTCTGAAGAAACTCCGATGGATTAAAACACGGCTCGAGTTTAATTACTATACTGCGAATCTTTATGCAAAATAAACTATTTTAACAATCACAATTTGCATTTCACTTTCGATATCTCGAGTGTCGAATATTTTTTAATCTCTGTACGTATCATTTTTCTATGAACGCATGAAATTCGCAGTCTATTAATTACGTTGGTAGACCGTGGATTTAATTCATTTGCATGGTAAATATTTTTACGTATCATATTCAGTCGTTCTATGAATCCCTAAAATCTGCGGTCTCTTAAACGATTCCCTACCCTGGTGCAAGCATCGCATGAGCCTGCTCCTGGTCAAGGACAATCCCTGATGGCAGGCAGCTTTGTGCAGCTCGCAATGATTCGCGTAGATCTTGCCGTTGCTCGCGCAGACCGGTCGATGCCTCCGCGGGCATTTTCGTATGCATACGCAGAGAGCGGTCGTGTTGTTCGTCGATAGTTCGCATTCCTTGCCGACTCCGCAATATTTCGTCGCGCAGAGATCGATCGTTCGCGAACCTGCGAGCAAAATAAGGGAATCGTGACGACTGTATGATAAATCATAAATTGTTCGATTGACATAATATGCAAGCAGTTAAACGAGTATGATATGCATTTTAATAACGTTCGTGTATTCGCCAGAGGACAGGTTCGCACATAGTATCGGAATACCTTTAGTCACGGTTTAAAGAGAACAGGACGTTCACGCGTTGAAAACAGAACGTATGCCGGACAAAGAATTACAGCACCACGGGAAGCATTTCCGCTTCGCGAATTGCCAATTTCGTACGCGTCATTCGTTTATTGGCGACTGTTGATTAAGCCCGGCGACTGATAAAAAATTCCCGTCTCGTTCATCGTTGCGGAGTAAATATTTCGCGTTCCTGCTCGAGCGTTTGTTACAGATATAATTAACACGGCTATGATCGACGTTTATAATAATCAGCGTGCACGTTTTGTAAAATTCACGTCAAAGCGACGAGTAATTATACCGACAGGTAACGAAAACGCGACGCGTTCCCCCGTATGAATTCAATCGTTTTCTGATATTCTTCGCTGTACCTCGTTTGACAATTGAGATTTTTCGATTCGTTTCTATTTTACGATCATTGACCGAATGACCAAATGACCAAGCCTGGGTGTGGCTACTATAAGTCAGTGGTCACATACTTTAAAATCACCCGAGTAACTATGGACGATTAATGCCAATGGTCAAATTCTGATTAGTAAATTAATAGACACGAATCTTAGAATTTTTATTTCGCGATCCTTGACCAGATGACCAATCCTAGGGAGGTGAGTATTTAAAGTCAGTGGTCAATTGATCATTCGCTTTGGAATGACCCAAAAAATCCTGCCCGATTATCAATAAATGCGGGAGTAAACGAATATGCAAATCAGGAGCCGAACCTCCTAAGAATCGGCCAATCATTTTGCGCAGACGTCATTTTGCCCAAACCGTCGATCCCCGAGAGGGTATAAGTACAGAGCCCCGACGCTCCTCGAGTCACTCGATCGGCATTAGGCCGGTCGAGGCACCCCTTTTCCCATTCCATCCCAGTATGCGTGTGCGGTATGAGTATGAGTATGAGTATGAGT